TATATATATATTATTTTTATAATTTTTTGATTCAAACACTTTATTGATTCAAACACTTTCAAAATATATTACGATAGAAATTTAAAATATCTTGTTAACATATCTTATGTAAAAAAAATATTTATGACGCCTCGTTTCGGTTAATTGCATCTCTGAATTAACATTAATTCTCGCTTATCTTTGAGCTTCATTAACGTATCGTGTACTATTTGCACGTTTTATAATAATATATAGCAAATTGCAAAAACTATTTTAAAGATGTATCTATATAATATTGCGAAATGACGAGAGATCTGTACTCGTCCCATTAGTTGTCTCGTATGAAAGACTTGCTTCGCCATTTCTCTAATGAGAAATATTACAATATAATGGCAACAGAAGCGAGAAAAAATAAAATCTGGTTTCGATGTATATCTCTACGTATATTAACGAGACGTGTAATGAGATGGTAACGGCGGCAACTTGAACGATTCGTATCATTAATAACGGACAGAAATCCTTAAGTCGTGAAATCGTCTGTCTTTTAATCAAAGATCGCCGACGATTTGTACGGCAATTTGAGTCAGCATTTCGTCGTTCGCGACGAGAGAAAACGAGACAGGGCAAAAAAGCAGGAAAAAAAGGAAGAGAGATCTTGTATCTCTAATCTTCGACTTAACGCTTTTCCTTTTACTTCCCGCCAGCCTTCTTTAGAAATGTCTCGCAAAATAATAAATGTCAAAGTGATCACAGATGTATTCTCCCCGTTCTTCAGGCTTTAATAGGATATCGTGAAATTTCATCAAAACTATCTGTTTTCTTATATTCTATGACATTTTATATATATAAATATATCGCATGAATATGAAATTTTTATATTTGCTATTCTTGTCAAACTTAATATTTAGGATCTTTAATAAGTTAAAATTTCGAATAAAAATACTACAAAATTTTAAAATTCGAGATAATAGATCCAATCGAAAAAAAATCTGACTTGTAATGAAAGGTTAGTACAAGTATTTTAAATAATGCATTATAACGATATTTAAAAACGGGAGAAAAAAACGGGAGAAAATGTCATATGAAAAACGTGTCACGAAAAATGAATAATAAAAATATTCACTTCATGTGAATGAAGATTGCGAATACGATATCGATGCGAAACGCGGACGTCGAAATTAACGACGGAGAGTGAATACTACCCGTGTGCGTCAACCCGTCATTATCGTCCTCATAATGCACGCCACGTGTTCTGCTATTATCGCGAACGAGCTTCCGGCCGGTTGATATGCCATCCGTTCCGTGTCGTTAATCGCAAAAACTGTTCCGTCGAGTTAAGAATCGTTTGCTAATCGAGAACTACCCTCGCAATCGCGCGCACTGTCATTTTGCGCGCGGCCTCGAGGCCTCGTGGGTGCGGGGTCGTTGAGGAGACCTTTAATTTCCACTGTTTCAGGACCCGTGCCTCGACACAATGGGGCCCAAGGTGTGGCCCATCCCTCTCCCGCGTCTTGGTGTCCTCTCCCTTTCGAGAGCGCAGACCGGCTGCGTGCTATACGCGTGGGAAAGCCGAGCACGTGCGCAATCTTAGGGCCCAAGACTGCCCACAAAGGGCGCCTTCGGGCCCCTTTCTCTCCGACAAACGACCGCCGACCGGCTCAGAATCCGAGACTTCTTAAATCGATTTCGGGCCATCGCACAAAACCTCTTCGTGTTTTCGCCGTGTCTTTCGATACGTATAAAATTGCAGATCGAAAAGTATATTGAAACGATACAGGTAACAAACATGACTAAGACTCGGATTTTAATTGGATAATTCTAATTGTAAGTAAAGCAAGAAATAATTTTCCATATCTATCTTCCAAAGATGTTTATCAATATCATATTCATAGCTCGGGAATTAAACTATTAATGTGTACATAGGTACAAAATTACTCATGCGGCAAATTACTATCGCGACTTAATTCTCAATGCAACTTCATTAGACACTTTGTATTCGTCGGAACATAAATGGCAGTCACATAATAGTCTAAATGAACATCGAGTGTCGGGCACGTGGATGATGGGCGGCGTTGTTCATTATCCGTCGATTTGGTGCACGTGTCAGAAATGCGTATCCGCCCCCTCGAGTTTCTCGGCATGTAATTTTCCCTTCGTTCCGTCTATACGATCAAATTTTATCTTCAAGAGCGTTTCATTGAGATCTATCTGAGAGATTCACCGATTCGCCGTGTAACAAATTGCGCTGACGTGCGCGAATGATAAACTCCGAACTTTAAACTGCCCGGAGGCTACTCCAATTTCGCAACGGAGAATGGGTTACGTCACGAGCCGATGGATTCGCGAAAGGTCGAAGGTCACGGAGAAGCCGGCCTATTCTGGTTTTACCGGATACAGTCGGGACAGCCGACGTGAAAGGCCGCGCATACGGAAGTAACGCCGGCGTGTGCCGACATTGTGAGCACGTGCCCCGCGCGAAGCGACGTTGCTACAAGAGGGGGAAAAAAAGAGAGAGAGAGAGAGAAAGGAAGGAAAAAGGAAAGAAACTGGGGTGGAGGAAAGGTCATTTAAATAGGGCGAAGTGCAGCGGCTCGATGCGCACAAACGCGGCGCCAGGTGAACCCTGACGCTCTCCGTGAGAATATTCCACTCTCGCTTCTTCCTCCTCTTCTCCTTCTCTGCTGCGGCAGCTTCTTATGCCTCTTCACGGTTACTTTACTCACGCAGTAGGTCAGAGGGTCGTTCCTGTTATGTCGCGGGTGGCGTTAACTGCGCGCACACGAGGTATGACTCTACTCGAATTAAAACTCCGCTCGAAAATTAATCGAGTTCTCATTTCGGTCGGCTTCTCACGATATTTCAGACTCTGACATCTCGTAGCTTCCTAAGATCGTTTTAAATGTATTATAAATTTAAATGGTGCATCGCATGGCTTCGTTAATAGCATCGGCAAATGTTTTATTGTGACATTTCTACACCACATTTATATTTTCATAAAAAAATTAATGAATAATCAGCCACGTATATATCTATCAATTGATGCGCGATTATAATCTCTTAACAATCTTAATTTAAAATTATACATATGAAAATTACACATTTATCCGCTTTTTGAAATGATTAATTGGATTATTTGCTGTCGTACACTGTTCGAAACGAGCTCTCTCTCTCGTTATTTCCTGCTATGCGCAACGAACTGGAATCAATATTGCGGACAAATAAAGAAAATTATCACGCGGGCACTATCTCGTTGTTGGACCAAAACGTCCTCCCACCATCTCTCCTGTTGACCTTTGCTTTCGGTGCTTCCTTGAAGTATTACACGCGGGGCGAGTCGACGCGTGCGAGCCGGCATTACCGGAGGGTAGCTGATATCCCGGGAATACAAGAGGTAAGGTAGGGCTCGGGGTGAGAGATCACGATTTCATTGGCACGAGCCAAACGACTCGCGACATATGTTCACGAACAGCTGATGCGTTTTACTAATAAGTTCTCTCTCTCTCTCTCTCTCTCTCTCTCTCTCTCTCTGTCTCTCTCTATATCTCTTCGAGCACGCGATCACAGACCCCGCACGTGTGTGCACCACCGTGCCGCGTAAGAGAACCTGGGAAAGTAAAAATCCCGCGCGACCGAAGAGTGTGAGAAAATTCGTGCGCCGCCGCATCACGTCGGCTACACGTTGCCGCAACTACGGGAACTTTGTCGGAACGCTGTTGCAACACGTGTGCTAATAATCGATTCTGTTGCCGCCGCGATTCTGCTACGAAGCGCTATTATCGACCGCGATTAACATACGCGATTAACGTGAGACCCGCTTTGACGTCAAGGAGTTCATCACAACACGTTTTTCATTGTGATTTGCATTGCAGAATCAAGGTCCGAAATAATTATTGAATATGTTTCTAAAAACGAAATGTCATCCAGTGTATACAGACTCCAAAATATTATAAATATTCCTTTTTTTTTTACGATTAAAAAAAACATCGGCTACGGCTAATTTATGAGAGTCGACTATTATCGTAGACGTATCAACGGATTTGTTTAGATTAATAAAATTATTTTTATCGCGCTATTATATTATTGCAATGGTTCTCGCTTCAATGTTCTTGCGTCACATAAAATAATACCTAAGAATAATTCTCTATAATTTATTCATCGACTTCCAGTCGATCATAATATTTTTTTGCTCCATTCACCGCTTCGCGTGCCATGTGCTGCAGCGCGAACACGTGCCAAGAGCGCGAAATCAATTCTATATTATTCGCCGACAAACTTGAAATATGCACTCGCGGAATGATGACGAATGCGAACAGGAAATTTCAAACTGGACATTATACCAAGACTACTCTTTGAACTGCATCCTTATGTTAGCCACGCAAATATAACCGCGTGGAAAATCACACAGATCTGACTGAATATAAATTACGACGAAAAATAATGAAAAGTATAGTCATTCGATTACTCGACTAAATCAATTATTCAAATATTTCGTATTTTGAATAACACAGTTCACATAAAGATAGGGAAGGAAGAGAGAGGTATTATAAATAAAGCTGTTTATTAATATTTGTGACTAGAACTCGATAATCTTTATAATTAAGTTGGAGTGAAATTTTTATATCATATATTTAAATTTAAAGGAATAATCCGCAATAATACTATTTCAGGTTCTCTTAAAGATAAATTCTAAAAAGTTTTAAAATTTAATACGCATATAAAATTTCCTATTTAATATGCACAAATCTCTGTATGTAAATATATTTTTATTTTACGAATTTGTTGATTATTAAATACAAAATGTCAAAATTTCGCGATGTCATGAAAATCGTTGAAATAGTTTGGTTTGTTATCAACTTTCGACTAATTCGCTATTAAGTTTCACGATTTCAATCTCGACAAATGACGTAATAGAGATTATACATGTAGAAAGTGCATTTGGTTGAACGGTGCAAACGCTACATAGCAAGCAACGGAACATTAGGCGAAACTTCCGATTACGACACGTTATCTATTTCGATGTAACTTTGCATGTTCGCAGATGTTCATGTAACTACACGCGGTATTTAAATATTTGGATATGAAATACACGCGCAAATATATTTCTTTTAGATAAACGTCCGCTATTTTTGGATAATAGAAGAATAGTTCGTCAAAATAAATACGTGAATATATTTTTTTTAATATCACATGACCGAGCAATAAATAAAACTTTATTTTTAGATTTCGGTTTTTGTAACACTAACTCTCCATTTTTTTTCAAAGCAATAGCAAATAATGGATCCGGTTTCTCTAAAATGACACAAATAAAGATAAGATAGAAATGCGAAAAAAAAGATTGTATCCTTGTGCGTCAGCAATTCTCGGAAATTGTATCTGGTCCGCTTTCACCCGATGCGTTTAGCTTTCGTGGTTACATCTACATCACGCCGCGTTTCAGACACTTTGAGGCCCCGTTAACATCACGCTAATTAGATCCCACGAGATCGCGCGGGCACGAAGAGATCCGATCAAAGGAGCGGGGCAAGAGCGAATGAAACAGGAAACAAGTTACGAGGGGTGTTATCTCGCGATCGTGACAGATTCTATCGAGGTACCGCCACACGTTAACGACACACGCAATTCGCCGATTCGCGAAGAAGAAAGAAAATAAAATAGAGAGAGAAAGTAGAAACTTGAGAGAGAGAGAGAGAGAGAGAGAGAGAGAACAAAGCAGGAAGCTTTGTAAAAGCCACGGTAGCAAGAAGAGAGATGTAAGCAGCGAGGGGGAAAAAGATCAAAGTGACGAATGGACGCAGAAGAAGACAGAGAAGGGAAGGGTGCCGTGGGGTCGCAGAAACACGAGAAGGAGACGGGAGAGACTCGAAACGAGCGTGCGTAATTATTCGGTGCGAACGACGTTTAAATATCCGGGCTCTGGACCGCGAAATAAGCGTCCGAGTGGCCGGTCGGGCACTTAGGAAGGACGTAGAGGAAAAACGAGCGGAGGAAGGGCGGAGAAAAAAAGGGAGGACACGAAGTATAGCGAGGGTAGAGAGAAACAAGAAAAAGAAAAGAGGAGGAGAAAGGCGTAGGATATAATTCAACCAGTGGCTCGCTCGAAATTAGTATCTCGAAGTGGAGTGCATCCGAGATACTTGTTTCATGCGATGACTATCCGACGCGGGAGGACGACGATTTTACGAGTATGTTCGCGAGATTAAGACCGTGGAGGTCTACTTTCGGCCAATTTTCGCCAATTTGGCGATAGGTTACGCGAGCAAGGATATTTCACCTTTCCGAGAATTGCTGATGACCCCCCATCACGTGAGAGGAATGTTTTGAATATTCGCGCACCGACAACTTTTTTACTCGTTAGCTCTTTGTAATTACCGCCCGTGTACCCGATAATTACACGTAATCGAGGTGAAATATCACGGTGCACTCCATTGCCCGAGAAATTCACGGACGGCGCAATAACAATAAAGATAAGGCGAAAGCGAAGGGTTTTGATTTTTTATGTGCTTACAGCTGTAATATTTTTATGCAATTAAAAATTGCATACTTTGTGAAAGTAATTTTTTAATTCACATATACAATTAAAATAATATTAGTAGAACAGAATTATTAATTTTTATTTTACGTGATTTTTCTTGATATTAATTTCTAAATCACAATATCACGATAAGAACGATTTTAAATGTCATGTTAATAAAGAATAAACGTTAGATTCTCTTCTCCGAATCAGTTCTAAAAATTAGCAATCTATATCGTAAAACAAGCATGAGGCATAAGGGTAACTGTTTCCCATCAGCCGTAATAATCGATAAAGTAAAACGCAGCGAGCGAATTGCTATATTAAGATCCGATTTGCTCTTCGATCCCATTCACCCGACGTTGCGGAACGCGCGTGCTACTCAGAAACGAAGACAGAAAATCGGCGCCAGGGCAAGATTAATTAATCGCGTCTCGCTCTGTTACACGACCGGCTCTGTAACGACTGATTTGTCATACCTCTTTGCATTGACGAGCTTCATCGAGTTCGTCTACGATTTCCCTCCCCTCTCCCCTCCCTCTCCCTCTTCCATCTACGTTAATACGCGTGAATCGATCAATCGCGCCACCGATGGCCGCGATACCATTCCGCGACGATGACCGGATCGGACGGCTACGAAATATGCGCGCGTTCACACATACATAGAAGGCACACGACACACGATTTAACATCGTGTAGCCGGTGGGATTGCAATCACGCGCCGGAGTTGCGCCGGACTTGTGCCCAGCACGCTCCTCAATCGGCCGAAGCGGGAGAACCAGAAGCGGAGAGAGAGAGAGA